TTTTTTGGTTGCAGCCGTCATTGTTGTTTGGCGGGTCCGGGCTGGGGATTCGAACCCGCCACCTTAGGTGTACGTGGCTGGCGCCTTAGCCTGAGTAAATTATTTTCTTTACTCTTTTTTTTTTTTTGAGACAGAGTTTCACTTTCTTGCCCCTGGTAGAGTGCTGTGGCATCATAGCTCTTAGGAACCTCAAACTCTTTGGCTCAAGCCATCCTCTTGCCTCAGCCTCCCAAGTAGCTGAGACTATAGGTGCCCACCACAATGCCTGGCTATTTTTTAGAGGAGGGGTTCGTCTCACTCTTGCTCAGGCTGGTCTTGAACTCCTGAGCTCAAGCAATCCACCCACTTCAGCCTCCCAGAGTGGTGGGATTACAGGTATGAGCCACCACACTCTCAAAAAATAAGGGAGCCCCAGGGGAAACTTAGCTGGGAAACAGTGCCTGGGAGTAAGGAAAGAAAGCAGCAGGCTGCCGTTGGTGAACTTTGGAATGTGCATTTTCTGCTTGTAAGCCTCTGAGCAGCACCTGGTGGGTTCTTCTTAGAGCTGCTGGGGGAACGTTAGTGCCTGAAGCCTGTGCTGCCTCTCCCCTTTGTGAGGTCAAGCCTGTGGGTGTCTGGGTCCCTTCCAGGCTCCTGAATGCTCTCCCAGCCTGCCCTCTGGTGTTCAATTCTCGGGTTTTGCCCCAAAGGTCCAAGTTCCTCCAGGAGGCTAGGCAAGGCCAAACTCTGTCTTTTGAGTTTGCTGTAGTAGAGAGCAGGGTTGTCCATGGTAGGACTCCCCACAGAGACACGCCTTTATGGCCCCTGGTGTGGTCACTGTTGCTCAGGAGAGGCCAGGCCATCATCCCCCATTCCACTGGGAAGAAGGGAGAGAGATGTACAGATTCCACCCAACACACTGCATTCAGGTTCTCTACTGTATTGTATTTTATCTGTTTTCTTTTTTATGAGACAGAGTCTCTGTTGCACTGGGTAGAGTGCCGTGGCATCATCATAGCTCATAGCAGCCTCAAACTCCTGGGCTCAAGCAATCCTTCTGCCTCCGCTTCCCAAGTAGCTGGACTACAGGTGCCCGCCACAAGGCCTATTTTTGTAGTCGGGGATCTAGCTCTTTCTCAGATTGGTCTCTAACTCCTGAAGCTCATATAATCCACCTGCCTTGGCCTCCCACAGAGCCAGGATTACAGGCATGAGCTACCAGGCACAGCTGATCTTGAAACATTTTTGAGGCAGGCAGGAAAGAAATGATCCCATTGGGCAGATGAGTAAACTCAGGGAGGCCTGAGGTCACCCAGAAAGTCACTTTAGTACCACACTGGGGTGGAGGCCTCAGGACACTCACTGTTCCCCTTCTCCTTGTCTGGACAGTCCTAAGAAGAGCAGATGAAGCTTGTAGCCCCGTGGGGCCTGGGGGAGTGAGGCCCAGCCCACGTGCATGTCCTCGCCCAGGGTCCAGCTTTCCCTCAGCCCACACGCATGTCCTCGCCCCAGGGTCCAGCTTTCCCTCAGCCCACACGC